GCATTTCTCTAATTACTAGATATTTGAACATTTTAAAAATATATGGTTGGTTGATTGTATATGTTCTTCTGAGAAGTGTCTGTTCAGATCATTAGCCCATTTATTGATTGGATTGTTTGTTATTTTTTGTGTTAAGTTTTTTTAGTTCTTTATGTATCCAGAGATTAGTGCTCTATCTAACGTGTGTGGGGCAAAATTTTGCTCCCAAAATATAGGCTCTCTGTTCACCTCATTAATTTTTTTTTTCCGAAAAGAAGCTTTGTAGTTTGAGTCTATCCTATTTATTAATTATTGATTTTATTTCTTGTGCTTTGGGAGTCTGTTAAGGAAGTTAGGGCCTAATTAGATGTGATGAAAATTTGAGCTTATTTTTTCCTCTATTAGGCGCAAGGTCTCTGGACTAAATCCTAGGTCCTTGATCCATTTTGAGTTGAGTTTTGTGCATGATGAGAGATACCACCATTTGACCCAGCTATCCCTCTCCTCGGTCTATACTCAAAGGAGTTAAAAACAGCATACTCCAGGGACACAGCCACATCAATTTTTATAGCAACACAATTCACAGTAGCTAAACTGTGGAACCAACCTAAATGCCCTTAAGTGGATGAATGAATAAAAAAAATATGGCATATATACACAACAGAATATTACTCAGCAATAAAAGAGAATAAAATCACGGCATTTGCAGGTAAATGGATGGAGCTGGAGAAGACAATGCTAAGAGAAGTTAGCCAATCCCCCCCAAAACAAATGCCAAATGTTTTCTCTGATATAAGGTGACTGACTCACAGTGGGGTAGGGAGGGGGAGCATGGGAAGAAAAGATGAACTCTAGATAGGGCAGAGGGGTGGGAGGGGAAAGGAGAGGGCAGGTTAGTAAGGCTGGTGGAATGTGATGGACATCATTATCCAAAGTACATGTATAAATCACGAATTGGAGTGAACATATTTTATATACAACCAGACATATGAAAAATTGTGCTCTGTATGTGTAATAAGAAATATAATGCATTTCACTGTCATTTATTTAAAAAAAATCAATAAATTTTTTTAAAAAATCAATTTGTTGCATATGGATTTCCAGATCTCCTAAGAGAAGAAGGCTATCTTTTCTCAGCTGTATTTTTTTGGTACCTTCTTTTAAGTATGAGGTAACTATATTTATGTGGCTTTGTCTCAGTGACTTTTATTCTATACTTTGGTCTACATGTCTATTTTGGTGCCAATCCCATGCCATTTTTGTTATTATAGCTGTATAGTATACATTAAGGTCTGGTATTGTGATGCCTTCTGCTTCGCTTTTCTTACTAAGGATTGCTTTGGCTATTCTGGGTCTCCACTTTTCCAAATGAGTTTCATGATTGCTTTTTCTATTTCTATAAGGAATGACATTGGGATTTTAATTGAAATTGCATTGAATCTATATAGTGCTTTTGGTAGTATGGACATTATGACAATAATAATTTTGCCTATCCAAGAGCATGGGAGAACTTTCCATCCTGTAAGGTCTTCTTCAATTTCTTTCTTTAGTGTTCTGTAGTTTTCATCGTAGAGGTCTTTCACCTCTTTTGTTGATTACCAACTATTTGATTTGTTTATTTATTTAGAGAATTTTTTTTAATATTTATTTTTTAGTTTTTAGCGAACACAACATCTTTATTTGTATGTGGTGCTAAGGATCGAACCCAGCACCGCGCACATGCCAGGCAAGCTCGCTACCGCTTGAGCCACATCTGCAGCCCATATTTATTTATTTTTTGAAGCTATTGTGAATGAGGTAGTTTTCCTAATTTTTCTTTCAGAGAATTATCACTGATGTACAGAAATACATTTGATTTATAGGTATGATTTTATATCCTACTACTTTACTGAATTTATTAATTAATTTTAGAAGTTTTCTGGATCCTCTAAGTATAGAATCATGCCATCAGCAAATAATGATAGCTTGAGTTCTTCTTTTCCTATTTGTATCCCTTTAATTTCTTTTGTTTTTCGAATTGCTCTGGCTATAGTTTCAAGGACTATGTCAAATAGAAGTGGTGAAAACGGGCATCCCTGTTCTTGTTCCAGTTCTTAGAAAAAATGCTTCCAATTTTTCACCATTTAGAATGATGTTTGCCTTGGGTTTAGCATAGATAGCTTTTACACGGTTGAAGTATATTTCTACTATTCCTAGTTTTTCTAGACTTTTGAACATGAAACAGTGCTGTATTTTGTCAAATACTTTCTCTGCACCAATTGACATAATCACATAATTATTATCTTTAAGTCTATTGATGTGATGAATTATATTATTGATTTCTGTATGTTGAACCAACCTTGCATCCATGGAATGAACCTCACTTGATCATGGGGCACTATCTTTTTAATATTTTTTGTATGCAACTTGCCAGAATTTTATTCAGAATTTTTGCATCAATGCTCATCAGGGTTATTGGTCTGAAATTTTCTTTCCTTGATGTGTCTCTGCCTGGTTTTGGTATCAGAATGATACTAGCTTTGTAGAATGAGTTTGGAAGGGTTCCTTCCTTTTCTATTTCATGGAATAATTTGAGGAGTATTGGTAGTAATTCTTCTTTATAGGTCTTGTAGACCTCAGCTGTGAATTCATCTGCTCCCGGGCTTTTCTTGGTTGGTAGACTTTTGATGGTATCTTCTATTTCCTTGCTTGAAATTGATCTGTTTAATTATATGCCCTCTTGATTCAGTTGGGCAGATCATATGTCTCTAGAAATTTGTCAGTGTCTTCAAGGTTTTCTATTTTTATTGGAGTATAAATTTTCAAGATAGTTTCTGATTGTTTTCTGTATTTCAATAGTGTCTGCTGTGAGATTTCCTTTTTCATCACAAATTTTAGTAATTTGAGTTTTCTCCCTCTTTCTTTTTGTTAGAGTTCCTAAGTGTCAATTTTATTTATGTTTTTCAAAGAACCAGCTTTTTGTTATGTCATTTTTTTTTTAATTTTTTTTTTAGTTTCAATTTCATTGATTTGTTCTTTGATTTTAATTATTTCCTGTCTTTGACTACTTTTAGTGTTGGTTTGTTCTTCTTTTTCTAGGGCTTTGAGCTGTAATGTCAAGTCATTTATTTGTTGACTTTTTCTTCCTTTAATTAATGGACTCCATGCAATGAACTTTCCTCTTAGGACTTCATAGTGTACCAGAGATTTTGTAAGTTTTATTGGAGTTATCATTTACCTCCAAGAATTTTTATCTCCTCCCTGATGTCTCCTGTTATCCATTCATTATTCAGTAGCATATTGTTTAGTCTCCAGATGTTGGAGTAGCTTCTTTTTTAAATTTTATCATTGATTTCTAATTTCATTTCATTATGGTGAGATGGAATGCATGTTAGTATCTCTATTTTTTTTTTTTTTGTATTTGCTAAGACTTGCTTTGTGGCATAACATATAGTCTATTTTGGAGAAGGATCCATGTGCTGCTGAGAAGAAAGTGTATTCATTCATTTATATATGAAATATTCTGTATATGTCTGTTAAGTCCAAATTATTGATTTTATTACTGAGTTATATAGTTTCTTTGATTAGCTTTATTTTGGAAGATCTATCCAGTGGTAAGAGATGTGAGGTGTATTAAAGTTACCCAGTATATTTGTGTTGTGATCTATTTGGTTTTTGTATTTGAGAAGGGTTTGTTTGACATATATAGATGCCCCATTGGTTGGGGCATAGATTTATGACTGTTATGTCTTGTTGAAGTATGAATCACTGAAGCAGTGTGAAATGTCCTTCTTTATCCCTTTTCATTAACTTTGGTTTGAAATCCACTTTATCTGATATAAGGATGAAAACCCCTGCTTGTTTATGAAGTCCATGTGAGTGGTCTGTTTTTTCCCACACTTTCACCTTCAGTTTTTGGATGTCTTTTCCTGTGAGATGAATCTCTTCAAGGAAACATATTGTTGGGTCTTGTTTTTTGATCTATTCTGTCAGTCTATGTCTTTTAATTGATAAGTTTATGCCATTCACATTCAGAGTTATTATTGAAATATGATTTGTATTCCTGGACATTTTGGTTTGTTTTTGGTTTTGAACTTGACTTGGATTCTTCTTTGATTAGCTTTTCCTGTAGTATAGTTCCTCTCTTTGCTAATTTTCATTGTTGTTTTTCATTTCCTCCTCCTGGAATATTTTGCTGAGGATACTCTGTAGTGCAGGCTTTCTCAGTGTAAATTCTTTTAACTTTTTTTATCATAAAAATTTTATATTTTGTCATCAAATATGAATCCAATAATATCCTTTTTTAAAAAATATTTTATTTTAGTTGTATTTGAACACAATACCTTTATTTTATTTTTATGTGGTGCTGAGGATCAAACCCAGGGCCTCGCATGTGCTAGACGAGTGCTCTACCGCTGACCAATACTCCAGCCCCACAATACATATTCTTAAAAATCATTTATTTATCATTGTGTGAAGGATCTTAAAAAGAGTGGACATCAGGCTACAGCATTACTTTTTAAAACTTTTTATTTATTTTTATTTTTTATTGTTTTTGGTGCTAAAGACTCAATTCCAGGTATTTGCACATGATAGGCAAGACTCTATCACTGAGCTACTTCCAATCCATGGATTACTTCTTATCAAAAACAACATAAGTTACTAAAAATATCCTGTTGGTTAATTTTCACAATATTACATGAGGTGAGTTTCATAAGGATTATTTATCTATTTACTTTAAATTGTAATCTAAATCCCTTAAAATTTAATTTCCTTTATTTGATAGGGACCAACTTGTGGAAACAACAGAATTAGAAAAAAAAATAAACAAACAAAACCCACCTGTAATTGTTAAAAAGTAAGATGCATAATATATACTTGGCACATAAGTGGACTTGGTAGTATTATCTGAAACATAAAAATGAGACTCCAGTAAAAAGTCAATCCTAGCTCCCCTCCACACAACCTGTTTCATGGAATACTGATACCACTGATACTTTCTAGTAATTAATAGAACAAATACTCACTCAGGCACTTCAAAAGATGCTTTGTACTTCATTTATTTTCTCACACTGATCCAAAGTATCAGGTACAATTTTTTAATCATTACAAAAAAATCATTACATAAAAAATAAGCACACCCATATTTTTGTTGTTATTCAAAGTTACACAGCTAATCAGTAAAGGGACAGAATCTGAACTTAGATACTCCATACCAAAAACAAAAACACCTATTCTTAGTATATGCCACTTAGAACACATCTTCTTAACTCCTTGATAAATAAGAAGCATCATGGGTAAACTGTCATAATGTTAAGGGGTCATTCTATAGAGGTACTCCTATGCATAGCCCTCAATAATATAGAAAGGTGGTAGAAAACTCTCCTAAACATTCTGTCAGTGGCAAAAAAAGAATAGAGTTTTAAAGATCTGGCAGAGGTGTTACCTCAATAATGAGATTATTTAATGAGGAATTGGTCTTTTTTCCTTGGAAGCATGAAAGATGATGAATTAAGATTCCCTAGGAGAGATAAACAAGATATTGGGATAAATCCTCATGTGAGGATTTATATATCCTTATGTATACTTATGAGTGAAAGACTTCCTAACAGAAAGGCTGAAGACAGCAAGGAAAGGTGGTTAAAATGGTGCAGATGAGCTCAGGGGCATGGGATGCACAAAAGGGCCAGAGGTACTGCACAGACTGGGTGAGGGTATAAGAAATTTCAAGAGCTTGGCCAGTGTAGTGTCATGGGCTCTGGACATGTCTCAGGATTGAAGTAAGGAAAAACTTCTTTAGGAAAGAAACATTTGGAGAATTTATGGATGAGAAACCCATGGTTTGTAACATTGTAAAATGAAAGTTCACGAGTCTCATAATCTAAGAAAACCCCAATATGTTGTGGAGGAACAGTCAGAGAGAGGACCAAGTTCAAAGGATAATGGGCACCATTCTTACAAAAAGCATTATAGAGAAATCTGTGAAGACCTATAACCCAGTAGCCACATGTAGGTTGATAGTTTTTACTTTGTCCAGGGACAGATGCAGATTCGAAATATTTTCCATCACACAACCCCAGAGACCAGGCACTTTTCTTGGACACATCTACCATCCAGTAATGTTTTCCTGATGTGATAGGTGGGTAGCCCAAAACACCTTCATGATAATTCCCACGCTTGCGCGAGTATTGGGTTACATATCTTAATTGTCTCTGGTCCTTAGAAATGACAATATTTGGATTGTTGCTTGGAGACAGTGTCAGGCGAACTGTAGAAAAATTAGAGTCACATCAAAGATACGATTTAGCTTTATTTGTGATGTTATAAAAGGAATCCTGAGAAGAACTTAAAAAGTGGGAAAAACTCTGATCAGAAGTCATAGAGATAGAACACTGCAGAAACAAGGTATGTGAGTGACTGTTGGAAGGAGCAAAATGGACCTTAAAACATGAGAACTACCGGAGAAATCAATTCTGAAAGACGTTGAGAAGACTGTGGCTTATGACACAGTAATTTCTGTTTACCCCAGTAACGTTGAACATCTGTCAGCTCTGAAATGATAAAAATCCACAGTGTGAAATATAAGCAAAAGTGTCAGCACTGAAATCCATTCCCTTTCCAGATTAGGAAAAGGAGGAGGGATATCATAGGGCAGTAAACTAGCAAGTGAGGATGAATGGCCACTCCCCATTAAATATGATCACATCGTGAGCACACAGAGTCTACTCTCCCTTGTCTCCTCTACCCATACCTAGAAACTACACCTTCTTCCCCATCTATCACCTGCCACCACTAGAATCACACACTTAACCTAGCTCTTCTCACCTTGAGACACCTGCATCATCCCCTTCAGATCAGGAGCTCGGAATACTCTTCTTTGTTCCTTGGGGAAAGTTTTTGGCTTCCTCAGCATTAAGTTCTTATGCCTAGGGATGGAAAAAGTTGACCCACACTTCAGACCTTGTGGTCCCCACCCCGACAACAATGATTTCTTCCCATCATTTCACCCCATTGATGCACTTGAACTTTCTTCACCAAGGATCCTGAGAAAGGGAGGGAAGATTCCTAACTCTGAACTCCTAAGAAATGTTTCATGTTCACCTCCCTATTTACTTTCTTTGTGATCTTGTGAGGGGCTTAACATCTCAGAAGCACAGTTTCTAAAATGAATCAAGTTGCTCCTCTCTCTCTAACTCCTAGAATGCATGGTCAATGATGAAATATTGGATTTTACGAAACTCTGGTGTCTAAGAAAAAAGAATATGAGGAAAATCAGTGCTATGAGTGTGTGTTCTCAAGAAAATGTTCAGAAACTAAGACTGCAGGTCCTGGCTCCTGAGTATTTGAGAAATAAGAAATGTAAGAATCATATCTGGAAATGTTCAAAGCTTATCGCTAATAGGAAGCTCTCAGGTGACATCTGAGGTTTCATATTCTCTGGGGAAAATGACAAACATTGGCAAGGGCAATACTATAAACACAAAAGTCATTGTAGTTTGAATTATATGTTTCTGGAAAGAGCTTGATGCTGCCAGGCAGGTGTGCACTTTCAGATACCAAGATGCACCTTTCCACAAGTATGTAATGCACATGGATCAACTGATTCTCGTGTGCTGCTATCCTTACACACCAAGGCAGTGCCTTCTGGCACCTTCAACTTAGTTCCTGATGGTTCAGACTCCTTATCATGCAACTAGAAGATGCCTGTACATATAGAATCTTTCATACACTTTATCCCTGACAGACCAACTTCCCCAGTCAAAATTGTATAATAATCCAGAGATTCTAGTTTGTTTGTGAAAATCTAAATAGAAATCACAAAGCCACCCCTGGTCTATTTTATTCCCAGAAGAAACATACAAATATCCAGGAATTGTCCCAGTGAGTAATTCTTAGTACTTATCAGACAAAAAAGAAAAATCTTGCCTACAGTAAATAAAGCAGCCATTAAAACTGCAACCAGAGCTAGAAGTAGGCACATGAGGGCAAGAAATGCTGGTGCCACAGGGGGCCTGATGTTGGAACATCTT